GGAAGACTTGGTCGGGTTAACGTGAGAGCGGGTAGTGTTCGACTTTTTAAAAAAAATCACAGCATTTTTGAACCTCTTCTCCCTTTGGGGGAGGGCAGAATTTTCTGCCCTACCACCCACCCATCGTCTTTTACATGCCCCCTACAGCCACGCATCCTCAAGGTGGCATCGAGCATACAACTGGAGTCTTCTGCTCACCAAAACTCATACTTCCCGGTGGCAGGAGAGCAAGAGAGGGACAGACAGATGGCAGGGCATGTCCAAAGAAGAGCAAACAGCACAAATCAGTCCTCCCCCTCCCCACCTCCAGGGGTGGGGGCCGTTGGCACCTCAGTCCCCGTCCCCTACTCCATCCTGCCCGAACCTCCTTGCACCCATCCGGAACCTCGGTTGATGTGAGCCGGCAACAGAGAAGCACCGTGGCGCGGCGAGGAATGTGGACGGCACCCAGCGGTGGATGGCGGCAGCGGAGGCCGCGGGGAAACCTGACCAGGAAGCCGAGGACCAAACCAGCCTCTTTTTCCGTTCCCGGTTTTTTTCCTGAATCCAACGCGTGCCGTGCCCCGTTTCCCCCCATTTGTGTTGGGGAGGGGTGTCCTGAATGGGGTGGTAGATTTTCTTTTTTTCTTTAAAACATTTTTTTTTTAATACTCAGGAGAGGGATATGGGAAAGGTAAAGGGGATGTAACCAGGTGGGTGTTAGAGTTTGGGGCTAGGTGGGACCCATTATATAAGCAGTGGAGTGTGTTCCTCCCCTCCCTGCAGTTCTCCTTCCTATGGGATGAGTCTATCTTTAGCTGTACTTGGGGCCAGAACTAGATTTGAAGGAGGCCATGGAACTTCTCTTTAGAGAGCCTGCCTTGCTAGCCTGCCTTCTGGGGTTAAGTTTCTTGTTTTCTCCTTTGATGCACACACATCCTTTCCCATCCTGGCCCTTGGCCCTTCATGTTAACTATGCCCCCTAAGATAGTATGAAGAGTGTTAGGAAAGTTGGGCTTTGGAGTTGTGTCAGTATCTGTCTTTGTATACTATATTCCTGCCCTTCAAGGGTTTTTTTGTTTTATAATTTTAAAGACGAGTGTGGCCAGGTGTGGTGGTATGCGCCTTAGTCACAGTTTGCGGGGCTGAGGCAGGAGGATCCCTTGAGCCCAGGAGTTCAAGGCTATAGTGTATTATGATTGTCCCTGTGAATAGTCACTGCACTCCAGCCTGGGCAACATAGCAAGACCCCATCTTTAAGGAAAAAAAAAAACAATGAAGTCTGCTCTGAATTTGTTTTGTAACACCAACTTATTGATGACTTCCTTGTAAGCCTGTAGATGGTTTGACTTTTAGTCCAGAGACCAATCTTAAACTATTTCTGTTGTGGTCTGAGGACAAATTGTTACTCATCTTGAGTAATTTTTGCTTCTCCTTAACTCGCTTTTTGACTGTGTCTATTGTTGACCTTAAAGGTATTCACTTTTCTAACATGCTGAGATTCTCTTAGTTGTGCCAGGCATGGTGGCTCATGCCTATAATCCCAGTACTTTGGAAAGCTAGGGTCGGAGGATCACTTGAGGCCAGGAGTTTGAGGTCAGCCTGGGCAACATAAGGAGGTCTTGCTCTACAAAAAATAAAATAAAGCTGGGTGTGGTAGCTCACGCCTGTAATCCCAGTAATTTTGGGAGGCTGAGGCAAGAGGATTGTCCGAGCCCAGGAGTTTGGCACAAGCCTGGACAACATGGTGAAGCCTTGTCTCTGCAATAAATAAAAAAATTAGCTGGGCATGGTAGTACGTATCTGTAGTCCCAGCTACTTGGAAGGCTGAGCGGAAGGATCACCTGAGCCCAGCAGGTCCAGGCTGCAGTAGCCAATATCGTGCCACTGCATTCTAGTTTGGGTGACAGAGTGAGACTCCAACTCAAAAAAAAAAAAATTTTTTTTTTTTAGTTGAACTAGGAGAATCAAATGGAGCAGTCCTTGTCCTCTCCCCATTTTTTTTTAAAAAACCAACTCTGATGGAGTTATTCTGACTTTGAGTCACTGTTTCCCATAATTTCCCAGATGTTGAGAATCATCTCCCATTGTTTTCTTTCCTCCACCACCTCCATTTGAGGTAATGGCATCTTGCTATTGGGTGGTTTCACTGCTCCTTAACTTCTTTTGCAGTTTTCTTTCTCATGGCAGTTTTCATTTGGGCAGTCCTGAAATCCAACTGATAGGAAGGAAATTAGATCTAATGGGAAACGGACCACAGTAAAATGTGGATATTTTTGGGGATGGGGTGGGGTTTTCAATTTTCTCACTTCTCCCCATCCCCCCATGGGGTGTATTGGAGATCAACTTCCTCCCCCCCCCCAGGTTTAACCCCCCCACTCTGCCCTCCTCCCGTTCCCTACCCCCTTCCTCCCCCCCAGCCAATGGAGATCTTCGTGGATGATGAGACGAAGTTGACGCTGCATGGGTTGCAGCAGTACTACGTGAAACTGAAGGACAACGAGAAGAACCGGAAGCTCTTTGACCTTCTGGATGTTCTTGAGTTCAACCAGGTCAGTTGTTCAGTGTCCAGTAGGGGGATGAGCATTGGAGCACTCCAGCTGTAGCAGAAACTTGTGTATTAAGTATCTTTTTACTGTGTATTAATCACATATGATGGAGTGATGAGAATATAAATGTCTTTAGGGCTGAGCTTGAGCAAGGTGGGAGTTGCCTTTCTTTTCCATGACTAGCATAGATACATCCTCAGTAGAAACCTTAATGAAAATTAACTTCAAAAAGTAAAATCTTTGAAGGATTTTAGTAAGTTTGTAAAAATCCTGAACTTTTTTGGGCATGTTAGGGTTCGTGAATGTTTTTTTCTTCTAGTACTACTTAAAGAGAAGCATTTCATCGGTATATTTATGAGTGGTATTTGCACAGTAAACTACTTTATAGAATTAAGATAGGTTTCCTAGGTTTAATGTTTTGGTGAATAGGAATATCAGTCATGGACTTTTCAGACCTTAGCTCTACTTATCACTTTTTCATTAGATAACCTAACCCTTGTCTCCTAACATGCCTAGCAGTTTTTGTTAAACAGATCTCTGTACCTTCTTAGAGGCCAGCTTGCTTAGGAAAAATCAGAGCTGAGAGGAAGTTTTATTTAGAGCAGAGGAAATACGCAGTGGGGAGTAAGAGGGATGAAGAGAAATTTCTAAGAGTATACTTACTGGAAGCTCTTTCCTCCCATATAATCTCTCATACTGTACCCACATTCTCCCATTCACCACCCCTTCACCCTTCCAGGTGGTGATTTTTGTGAAGTCTGTGCAGCGGTGCATTGCCCTGGCCCAGCTTCTGGTGGAGCAGAACTTCCCAGCCATTGCCATCCACCGTGGGATGCCCCAGGAGGAGAGGTGAGTTGGAGATGGGGATGATGTTTTGTGTAATTGGGAGGAAAGGAGACCACATTGAAAGAAGGGAATCTCAACATTTTTTGAAATTTCCTTTCTCACAAAGGCTTTCTCGGTATCAGCAGTTTAAAGATTTCCAACGACGAATTCTTGTGGCTACCAACCTATTTGGCCGAGGCATGGACATTGAACGGGTGAACATTGCCTTTAACTATGACATGCCTGAGGATTCTGACACATACCTGCATCGGGTAAGCCCCATACTCATAAGGACACCCCATTTTCCCCATCCCTTTATTATCTCTGTTTTTTTCTTTTTGAGTTGGAGTCTTACTCTGTCACCCAGACTGGAGTGCTGTGGCATGCTCCCAGCCACCGCAGCCTCAGCCTGCTGGGCTCCGGTGATCCTTCTGCGTAGCCAGAACTACAGACGTGGCCTACCACGCCCAGCTAATTTTTGATTTATTGTAGAGACGAGGTCTTGCCAGGTTGCTCAGGTGGGTCTCAAACCCGTGGGCTCAGGCAGTCCACTTGCCTCGGCCTCCCAAAGTGCTGGAATTACAGAAGCTCGGCCTTCTGTGTTTTTTCCTACTTATTTCTTCATCCCTGCCTCTGGGCATCTTTCCACTTTGGGGTCTTCTAGTGCTATCCTCTGTCTCCTTTCAGGTGGCCAGAGCAGGCCGGTTCGGTACTAAGGGCTTGGCCATCACGTTTGTGTCAGATGAGAATGACGCCAAGATCCTCAATGATGTGCAGGATCGCTTTGAGGTCAATATTAGTGAGCTGCCTGATGAGATAGACATCTCCTCCTACAGTAAGTATTGATCCCATGAAACCTTTTCGGTCTCCTTTGTTTCTTAGTGTATTTGTCTTAAATCCCATCATGTAAGTAATGGACATCTAATGCATAGTGAACACTGGACCAGTGCCTGCTCCCCTTGTCTTTGATGCTGTGTTAGATGTTTTGTTGCCCTTACATGGAGCCTCACTCACTCCCCACCCTGAAGTCTGTCCTCTGAACCCACACAATACACCAGTATGTACATGAATGCGTGTGTGTTTCCTGCTTTGTTCGTTCCTCTTCATGCCTTATTCTGACTGTGCCATGTTTTCTCCTTAGTTGAACAGACACGGTAGAGGACTCGTCCATTCTGGAATGTGATGGTCTGTCCTTCAAGAGAGGATACCCGGTGTGGGGGTGAAGGAGACACTACTGCCACCACCCCTGACAGCCCCCACCCCCCACCCCATGGCTTCCTTCTTTTGCATCACCACCACTCCTAAACCCCCATTCCTGATTGACAAGTTTTTTTTAACAAAACTAAAAATGAAACACATTCGTGTCTGTGGTATCTGTAAGTGCTTTGTCCTTTTATTGTATTTGGGATGAGATTATTTTAGGGCAGGATCCAGAGTAAATTTCAGAGGACTGTACTGAGGACAATGGGTGGGGTCAAAGGAGGGGTGGGACTAAGTCTACAGAGCCTGGGCTCTCCACTACCCTTCATTTCTGGCCCCTTGTGGAGGTTTCCTGGGAGAGGCTGGGATGTTTCTGATCCAAGGGTTTCTGAGGGTGGTGTGCAGTATTTCCAGTGCTGGAGGATGATGTGGGACTTGGTGGGAAGCTTAGGTGTCTCCTCCCAGGCTCTCTCGGTGTCTCCTCATCTGTTCCTTCAGCTTCTGAATTTTGAGCACCAGGGCCTGGGCTTCCCAGGCTCCCTCCTGCCCTTCCAGCAGGGCCTGGTACAGCTCCAGCTGCTGCTCTAGCAACTCCTCAGCTTGGGCTAGCTCAGCTGGCCGAGGACCCTGGTGGGGGTGGGGTGGGGAGGAAGCATCAGTTAAGATGGGGAGGGGAGGCTGAGCCCCTGGGAGCTGTGTGCCAGGATATGAGTGGAAGTGTGGAATTCCATCTTCCCTTTGCCTTTTTTGGCTCCACTGGTTTAAGTCCCTCTGTACCGAGAAACCCAGGTGTTTTCCCCCCCAGCCCTAATCATAGGCATAGGCTTTTCGAAGGCAGATAGAAATTGCTGGCCCAGGGGCTATAACTGGACTCCTTGAACAAAAATACGGGGTCACTGGAAAGGACTGACTGTTTCTCCCCACTAAGAAATAATTAACTATAAGATGAGGGGGAATTCCTCTTCAAGGACTTTGTGGACTGTACTGTGTAGTGGGGGAGGGTAGGGGAGAGCGATCCTTGAGGGCTGGGCTGGGGTGGGGGTGGGCAGTAGCCTGGAGATGAGAGCTGGAACTAGGCAAGCTGAGGGGGTGAGGGGTGGTTCAGGGTGGGATTGAGAGTTTCCTCCCACCCCTGTTACAAATTTCTCTTAGGCCCTCCCTATCTACCCTTGGGGCCACTTACCTTGGGGGCTGATCCCATCTTCCCACTGCCCCTGGAGCTGGTCTCTTCTGTACTTGGCTTGGGGTTTTGAGAATAGCACCCCCGGGATCCCTGAGGTACCAAGGACCAGGATGGCAGAAGGAGGCGAAGACAACAGCACCGAGAGAGCCAGGGCAGAGGGAGCACCATGGTGAGTGAGGCAGAGAGTTGTCTGAGCCGCCCAACAGCCACCAGGAACTGGCCCTCTCCAGGCCTTGGCCTCGCTTCAGTGCCCAGCCCTGCCCAGGCTCCCGCCCCTGCCCTGTTGCCCCCACCATCCTCTCAGCCTGGCCCCAGTCATAGTTCAGAACAACTGTTAACTGATGTGAAGAATGTTCCTGCGAGTTTAGGCAGAACTTGCTTTAGATTGCTTTGCCCTGCCTGCCACAGGTCTTGTCTGTTTTTCTTAGCACCAACCCTCTTCCTTCTTCCTTTCTTCTCTGCAGATAGGACTGTCATCCCTCGCTTGCAGATGAGAAAACTGGCTCAGATGGTTCTATTTCTCACTCACTCATCGGGCAAGCATCTGTTGGGGTCAGCTCTGGGCCAGATGTGCTCAGGGCTCCACAACTGGTTGATGGCAGAGCCTGGAAGGGTTCATGTCTAGGGGTTCACCTGACTTGGAAGCTCATACTGACCTTGCTTAAGTACCAATTTCCCCTTTCCAGGCATCCCTTTTTATTGTGTTTTCCTTTAGTGCTCTTTGCAGACACTATATATTTTTTTAATTGAAGGTTTGTGGCAACCCCGTGTCAAGTAGGTCTTTTGGCACCATTTTTTCCTTTTTTTTCTTGAGTTGGAGTCTCATTCTGTCCCCCAGGCTAGAGTGCAGTGGCGCACTCAGGGCCACCGCAACCTTGACCTGCTGGGCTCAGGTGATCCTTCTGCCTCAGCCTTCTGAATAGCTGGAAATATAGGCACCATGCCCAGCTAATTTTTGTTTTATTGTAGAGATGAGGTCTCGCCAAGTTGCCCAGGCTGGTTTCAAACCCGTGGGCTCAGGCAATCCTCTCACCTTGGCCTCCCAAAGTGCTGGGATTATGGGCATGAACCACTGCACCCAGCCCGTTTTTTTCAATAGCATGTGCTCACTTTATGTCTCTGTGTCTCATTTTGGTAATTCTCAGAATACTTCTGACTTTTCCATTAGAGCTGATATGGTGACCTGTGATTGGTAATTTTAAATTTATTTTTAATTTTTATTTTTTGGAGATAGAGTCTTGCTTTGCCACCCAGGCTTAAATGCAAGTGGTGTGATTATAGCTCACTGTAGCCTTGAATTCCTGGGCTCAAGTGAGCCTCCTGCCTCAGCCTCTTAACAGCTGGGACCACATGCACCACCACACTTGGCTAATTTTTTTGTAGAGATGGGATCTTGCTGTGGTGCCCAGGTTGGTCTTGAATTCCTGGCCTCAAGCAATCCTTTTGCTTTGTCTTCCCAAAGTGTTGGGATGATTATAGGGGTGACCCATCATGCCTGGCCATCAATTATTTTTGAAGTAACTATTATAATTGTTTTGGAGTGCCATGAACCATACCCTTGTAAGATGGTGAACTTAATTGATAAATGTGTGTGTTGTGCCTGTTGTAGCAACTAGCCTTTCCCCGATTCACTCCATCTCTTCAGGCCTCCCTATTCCCTGAGACTCAACAATTTAAAGTTAGGTCAATTACAGTGACCCTTTTAAGTGTTCAAGTGAAAGGAATAGTCAATCCACGCAGCAAACTTTGTTGTCTTATTTTAAGAAATTGACACAGCCACCTTCAGCAACCATTACCCTGATCAGTCAGCAGTCATCAACATTGAGACAAGACCCTCACCAGCAAAAAGATTGTGATTAGCTGAAGCCTCAGATGATTGTTAGCATTTTCTAGCAATAATATGTTTTAAAATATGTACATAGTTTTTAAATACATGATGCATTTAAATACATGATGTTTGTTTACAGTATAGCGTAAACATAACTTTTATATGCACCGGGAAACCAAAAATTTTGTGTAGCTTGTTCTGGTGTGTCTGGAATCAAACTTTCAATATCTCTGAGGTATGCCTGTAATTTTCCTTTTCCTTCTTCTTGCTGGCCCAGAATTACCTTGCGTCTTGTCCCAGTTTTGTCCTGCATGCTGTAGGGGCTGCCTTCTCTGGCAGTTCTGGGCACTTTGTATCCCTTGTAGCCTGGCTCCTGACAACATGGGTACAGGTGTCAAGTTCTGTTGCACTAGTGAGCCTCCCTCCACACCTCCTGAACTAGAACCAAAGCCCTGTCCACATGCTGTGCATGTGTGAGCCTGTGTGCATATATGTCAGCTTCCTATAGGACATTCTGAAGGGTTGTCCTGATGTGACTGGAAAGCATGACCACAGACCTGTGGGCAGAGGTAGCTCAGAAGGCAATAGATAGTCCCAATTTTGATTATCTGTGAAAAGGAAGGTCCTCAGATAGATAGAAAACCATGCCTCAGAAGGAAGGATTGCAAGAGATTGGAGACCTAACCAGCTTGCTGTCTGGGATATCACTCTGGATGGAAGGGAAGATGGCCTCTGCCATCGTGTAGTGGCCTGTGAACCAGCAGGGAGACCTTCCTAGAGGTCTGGTTCTCAAAGTTGCTGAAGCACCTTTATATGAAACCAAAGACCTCACATTCCCCATTAGCTGACTTGTTCTCACTTTTCAGTGAAAAAAGAACCCAGAACCTTTTATTTTATTTTTTGAGTAGAAGTCTCACTCTCACCCAGGCTGGAGTACAGTGGCACACTCATGGCCACCGCAGCCTTGACTTGCTGGGCTCACATGATCCTTCTGCCTCAGCCTTCCAAGTAGCTAGAACTACAGGTATGTGCCACTACACCTTGGTTAATTTTTTGCCATATTGTATAAACGAAGTCTCTCCAAGTTGCCCAGGCTGGTCACAGACCCCTGGGCTCAGGCAATCCCTCTCGCCTCAGCCTCACAAAGTGCTGGGGTTACAGGCATGAGCCACTGCACCCAGCAACACCAGAACTTTTAAAAGAGGAGAGGGGCTTTCCTTTTTGTAACAGGGTCATGTGTGACTCATACTTGAATTGCAATGTGTACACTGTTTAAAGTCTTAATTATTGCCAGGCTCTGTGGCTCAACCTGAAATCCCAGTGCTTTGGGAGGCCGAGGTGAGTGAATTGCCTGAGTCCGCGGATTCGAGACCCGCCTGGGCAACTTGGCGAGACCTCGTCTCTACAATAAAAAAACGAGCCCGGCGTGGTAGCATGCACCTGTAGTTCCTGCTACTTGGAAGGCTGAGGTGGAAGATTCGCCAGAGCCCAGCAGGTCCAGGCTGCAGTGGCCGGAAGTGGCCACTGCACTCCAGTCTGGGTGACAGAGTGAGACTCCAACTAAAAAAAAAAAAAAAGTCTTCTTTGTTAGAAACTACTGTTATTACAGATATGTGGGACTATACATTATAAGGTTAAACAACCCACAGTCAATTACCATTTAAGCTAAATCAGCTACATTTATAAATTAAAAACAAGATTAGCAGCTATTTAGGAAAAAGACAAAAGAGAGTTCTGCAAGATAATCCAAATGATACACTAATAACAATTCTTCATTAAGATGACTTTTCAAGCCGGGCTTGGTGGCTCAGCTGTAATCCCGCGCCTTTGGGAGGCTGAGGTGAGTGGATTGCCTGAGCCGCGGGTTTGAAACCCGCCTGGGCAGTGAGACCTCATCTCTACAATAAATCAAAAAATCAGCCGGGCGTGGTAGCGCATGCCTGTAATTCCGGCTAATTGGAAGGCTGAGGCGGCAGGATCGCTGGAGCCCAGCAGGTCGAGGCAGCGGTGGCCGGGAGCGGCCACTGCACTCCAGTCTGGGCGACAGAGTGAAACTCTAACTCAAAAAAAAAGATGACTTTTCAACCATCTGAGTTTCTCCTTTAGATCATTAACTCCCAAATGGACTAACCTCCAATAATTTACAATAGGTGGTCCTAAGATATAAATAAAATAGAATCTGTGAATTTTGGCTTTGTTTCTCTGTGAGAACTTAAGAAAGTGCTGGACTTTGTGTCAGTTCAAATATATTGGATGAGCTGTGGATCTCGTAATCATGGAAGTGAAGAAATGAAGAGAAATATACATCAACCAGATTCTTCAGTGATATAGTTTGTCCTCCCAAACTCATGTTGAAATTTAACTGCTATTCTGATGATGTTAAGAGGTAGGACCTTTAAGAGTTGATTAGGTTGAATGGATTAATGCCATTGTTGTGGGAGTGAGCTCCTGATAAAAAGTATAAGTTTGGAGCCAGGCTCGGTGGCTCAACCTGTAATCCCGCGCCTTGGGAGGCTGAGGTGAGTGGAGGATTGCCTGAGCCTGCCTGGGCAACTTGGTGAGACCTCATCTCTACAATAAATAAAAAAAAAAAAAAATTAGCCGGGC